GACAGACAGGGTCACTGTGAGCAGCCCCTCAGGCTGGACACGCAGATGGACAGACAGGGTCACTGTGAGCAGCCCCCAGGCTGGACACACAGATTGACAGTTGTTGAATGAAGCTCGTTCCATACTCCTGTGTCCCTTTTTCTAATGAAGCGCCTCCTGAGCTCGGTTCTAATGCGCCATGAGATCATGTGAGATCATGTGAGCAGCCCCTCAGGCTGGACACACAGATGGACAGACAGGGTCACTGTGAGCAGCCCCTCTGGCTGGACAGACAGACGGATGGACAGACAGGGTCACTGTGAGGAGCCCGTCAGGCTGGACAGTGCAGTGTCCAGTGCTTACCGTTAGACAATGACACTGGGGCTGGGCCCCCCCCCCCCAGCACCCTCAGTCTCCCACCCTTTCTCTTTTATTTAGTCTCCCTCCCACAGGCTTATCACACACCTCCTCACCCTTCACACCGAGCTCTTTCCTAATCAGCTGCTTTTTATTGGCAATACAAGTCATATAGGTCTTGCGCAACACATGCTTCGTTTATCTGTCTTTCTGACGTGCTTGCTCCCTCGTTTCTGTCGCTCTTGCTCTTCTTCCTCTGTCCGTCCACCATGCAGCGCCAGCAGCAGGCTGGGAGACCCATGCCAGTGTGTGAGTGGGGTGGCACAGTGTGTGCCCCACACTGCCAGAGCCACCAGCCTGGGAGAGTCAGATACCGATAGCCGCACAGGGAAGGGACAGACTGACTCACAGATAGCTGGGTGTGAGATCATGTGTGCCTGCGTAGTTAGGAACTGAGTGACAAAAGGAGAAATAGAGAGGGTGGCACGCCTCTACTCAGAGACAAAGCCCTGGTGCAAGTGAGTGACGTCATTGGTGTTTTATGGAAGTGTGAGGGTAGAGTTCAATTAATTATACAGTATACCGCAGGGTGCTGTAGTTGTTTGTGTGTGTGAATTGGATTTCACTGAATACAAGAATCCAGGAACATAATAAGAATTAAAAACAGGGTGGCCTTTCGGCCTGTCTCGCTTGTCCAGCCTTTAGGGGCTGATTGATCCCAGAATCTCATCCAGCCAGTTGTTGAATGAAGCTCGTTCCATACTCCTGTGTCCCTTTTTCTAATGAAGCGCCTCCTGAGCTCGGTTCTAATGCGCCTCTCTGTACTTGGCTGATAATTTTGTCCAAGTGTTTAACATTTGTACCCACGTATCCAGCTGAGCATTTTACTGGAGCACCCTGAGGGTACCACAGCTGTGCTGAACAGCAACAAGTCCAGTGATCCTTGTGCAGAGAGACTGCGTAAGGCAGTGAGGCGTCTGCAGTCTCTACAGCATGTATATCTGTGTAGGCAGATGGAGTGAGAGAGTGCCGAGAGGGTGGAGGGAAGGACAGAGTTAACGTGTTTGCCATGTGTGCAATGCAGGAGTTGACAGATCATAAAACATTTTTTCCACTGGAGCAGAACTGGCCAGCTGTGGATGCATGAGTGTGTCTGTGCGTGTGCCTTACTGCGCTCGGCCTGTTAGGTTCTGCGATTCTGTGATATTGGCTCTGTGGGACACACACACCCCTTGCGAGCGACACCAGGCAGAGCAGCGAAGGAGTGTCTGATTTTCCACTCCTCGCCTGGCGTGCCGTGCTGGGTCAGGCCTGCAGTGGAAACTCAAGGAAACCAGCCAGATCTCATTGCTCAGCTGTGTGTCCCCTCCAGCTCTGAGCCCTCAGTAGGCTGGATTGGCTGCATCACACAGATGAAGTGGGAAAGCAGAATGTGCTGCACTACTATAGTGTAGAAAGTGACTTATAATCAGGGAAGAAAAGACCTGGAGTAGACAGGCTGCTCTGACATTCAAACACTTTGCTGTTTTCTGTTTCTGCCACTCAACCCATTACAGTGGAACTGCAGCCCCAATATCTCAGACCAGTTATTAAATCTCTGGATCAAAATAGATTCATTGACGGTATAGAAAAAATGTACAGATTTCAAATTAAGCACAAAAATCCTGAACTTTGTGAAAGTACTGTAAATTGCCATGTCGTCGCAAACCTCTGATCTTGCGTTCCCACGAGTTGACTTGATGCAGCCCTTCCTGCTCACTAGTCACTGTAATAACTAATTTAACAGGTTGTGCAGCAGATATTTCACTGTAGAAAGTTTCCAACGTGATCTGCATGATGAGCTAACTAGTACTGTAGGTTCCATCGGCAAAATGGTCTCAAAATCAAGAGCAACATCTCTATTGAATTAAAAGAGATGGACTCACAAGCCTGCTTGTTTACAATGTGATAGAGCAGCTTCACGTCACTGGGAGAACATGGCACTGCACATACCTGGACATTTAGTCTATTTTGTGATGTACACAGTAACTTGTAAAACCCCCAGTTTACATTTACTATTATTGTAGTTTGAAATGCACTGATTCTTTCATAGCCTGAAATATAAAAATAATGTAACTGTTTGCCTTTAAGTCACATGACAAAATTCACAGTATTAAATAGAAATAATGGTACATATCTTTCTGGATGATGTCCCTGAAACAATTTAAACCTGAAGGTCTCCTGTTGTGCTCTCACGCTGTAGTCCTCCCTCTCCCTGTAGATGGTGAGTGAGAAGGTGGGGGGCGCAGAGGGAACCAAGCTGGATGAAGAGTTCAAGGATCTGGAGAGGGTAAGACCCGCATGTCCATGTGTGACCGTGTCTCTGTGCTGTGTGTAGTTTTGCCAGTGTACTTCTTAACAATTTATAGATAGGTGAGCGTTTGTGTGTCTATGTGGATCTCCTTTTCTTTTTGTGTGGTGACCTCTGCCCTGTATGTGTCCTTCAGAAAGTAGATGTGACCAGCAAGGCTGTGACGGAGGTCATCTCCAAAACCTCGGAGTACCTGCAGCCCAATCCGGGTGAGGGAGATGGGGAAGAAGGGCGGAGAGGGAGGGGAGGTTCACTGCCCGAGTCTTCTGGGTTGTTTACACCCAGCTAAAGATCTGCCTGGTTCGGCACCTTTGTGTCATTAACCCCCTCTCTCTGCCATCTGCCCCCCCTGCCTCAGCATCCCGCGCGAAGCTGTCGATGCTGAACACGGTGTCGAAGATCCGTGGCCAGGTGAAGAGCCCAGGATACCCGCAGGCAGAGGGGCTGCTGGGAGAGTGCATGGTGAAGTATGGCCGCGAGCTGGGAGAGGACACAAACTTCGGTGAGGGGAGGGGAAAGGGGGGTGTGGGGGGGTGCCAACTCTTGTGGCAACGAGAAGCAACATGATAGAGAGGTGAAAGAGGTCTGACCTTGCCTGCTGTTCCCCATCCAAACTCCAGGTGGCGCCCTGCTGGACGCAGGAGAATCCATGAAGCGGTTGGCAGAGGTGAAAGACTCTTTGGACATCGATGTCAAGCAGAACTTCATCGACCCCCTGCAGGGGCTATGTGACAAAGACCTGCGAGAGATCCAGGTAACAGCACTCGGCAGGCGTTTCCTCAGCATGAGGGGCGCGTAGAATGGTCCTTGCTCTTACGCACCCTGTCCGGCTCCCACCCTCAGCACCACCTGAAGAAGCTGGAGGGCCGGCGGCTCGACTACGACTACAAGAAGAAGCGCCAGGGGAAGATCCCCGATGAGGAGGTGCGGCAGGCGCTCGACAAATTCCACGAGTCCAAGGAGGTGGCGGAGACCAGCATGTACAACCTGCTGGAGACCGACGTGAGTGGCTGGCAGGCTGTGGGAGTCTCGGGGTGCACGCTGGGAGTCTCGGGGGGTGGGTGCTGTGGGGGTGTGTGCCTGAGAGTGTGGGAGTCTCGGGGTTCACACTGTGAGTCTGAGAGTGTGGGAGTCTCAGGGGGGGCGCGCTGTGTGTCGGAGTCTCAGGGGGCGCATTGTGGGGGTGTGTGCCTGAGAGTGTGGGAGTCTCTGCCAGAAAGACAGGTATTCTTGGGGCGTCTTTGGCTGTTCTGGGGTTCCTTGGGTGGTCCTGGGTCATGGATGGTTTTGGGAAGTATTGGGGAAATTGGTAAGCTTTTTGGGGAATATTGGAGAATCTAATTTTCACCCAATCCGAGTGCAAATGTTCTCTGAACGGTGTGTGTATTTATCTCCCTGCCTATGTCTGCACAGATCGAGCAGGTGAGCCAGCTGTCTGCGCTGGTGGAGGCGCAGCTGCAGTATCACCGGCAGGCGGTGCAGATCCTGGAGGAGCTGTCCGAGAAGCTGAGGACCAGGTGAGCGAGCCCTGAGCACGAGCTCCTGCCGGCTCGAATCAGCACGGCAGCGTCTGTTTCAGCATGGCGTTGCTGTTCGCTGTTTCGGGTGTCACTGTAAACGGAGTTATTGAATCGTTGTATCACCGAGTTGGTGCTGCATGTGTGTTAACCCTGTGTTCTCCTGGGTGCTCTGCAGTATGAGCGAGGCATCCTCTCGCCCACGCAGGGAGTACACCCCCAAGCCCAAGCCCTCCCTGGATTATGGAGACGCCGATCAGTCCAACGGAGGCTTCTACACCCCCGCTGCAGCTGCAGCACCAGCGGCCCGCTCCTCGGGTGAGATACGGCCGAGCACGGGAACTAGCTTGCTGATGTTCGCCATTATTTTCAGACAGTTCATTTTTTTTATTCACTGGAAGACTGATTTAACCTGTACAGTTTTCATTGTTTTTACTTCTGTATATTTGGTTTTCCAGTCCCTGGGCAACCGCTAGTGTTGAAGAAGATCTGTAGTGAATTAGTATTAGCACTGCGCTTCAGGCGGAGAGAAGAGCTGGGTGTGTGTTAAGGAGCTGATCTGTTTACCAGTTTACACTGGCCAGTTGTTAATCGATTCACGAGGAAGCAGGGGTGAGGCCTTGAGCCCTTGTGACACTGTGCTGTGTTCTTTCCCTGTGATGTCATCAGCATCGTCGTTCCACCCGCGCAGAATGTCTTCCCGATCCTACAGCGCCTGTGAGTCTGAGAGAAGGGTGATCTGGGCGAGGTGTGTGTGTGGAAGTGTGTGCTGGCTTGCAGTATAAAGAGACCACTGAAGTACTGCTGTTGAACACAAAGCATAAAACAGAGCAGACACAAACTCAGCAGTCTCTGCTATCACATTTCGATAACAGGGCCTGACGCAGACTGAAGCAGAAGGCGGCTCTTTATACCACAGAGCGTGGGAGTGTTCTGTGTGCTTGTGCCTTCCTCCCTCAATACCAAGCTGTTTGAGGTGATGCTAGCATATTTGTTCTTGCAAATATTCAGACTGTAAGAAAGATAGCCCCAATAAAATAAAAAACTAGATATTGGGTTTTTTAGATTTTTCTGAGAATATTTCAGAAACATTTTTTTTTTTTTTGCTGTCTTTGAAAGCTGCACAGAGCTGCACTTAAGGAACTAAACACCCCAAACAGTGGGAGCTGGCCTGGCCAAGCCCGCCTGCCTGTGTGTGTGTGTGCCCAGGGCTGTGTGAGGTGGGCCTGCTGTGTGGTGTCCTAACCCCATGCTCCAGCAGGCACCCAGACTGCAGTGGGTAGTGCAGTCCTGGGCAAACTGCTCCGGTCACTCCAGCTCTCTAACACCCTGGCTGCCCTGCGCTGTCGGGACTTTGGGGGACGGGCAGTTCCACAGCTCACAGCCTGGCACCAGGACTTCCCTGGCCCAGTTGTGCCCCTCTCTCTGCCCCCTTTCCCCCACAGTGTGATGGCAGTGTGCTCTACACTTGTACCCTGCTCCAGTCTGCAGCGCTGGGGTGACACTCAGGCTGAGTGGGCTTGCAGTGTGGCACCTGATCGTGCCTGACTGGGCCGTGCTGAAGGCAGCAGTACACACCACCAGCCTGCTGCAGACCGCATGGGAGTACAGCAGGACACCTTATGCCCTTGACGACTGACTTCTGACCTTGCTGCTTTACTGGATTGTGGTGCATCACTAACACTGGGCCGGGTCTGACATCGCTCGGAAACAGGCCAGACCAGGGTATCCCTGACTTTTCCCTCTGCTCCTGGGGCTGGTGGAGGTCTAAACACAGCACACCCGCTGTGCAGTAATCACAGAGCAGGCATTGTGAGCGCCAGCCCCAGTGGGCTTTCTCAGCCTGTCCTGATGTGCCCATTGGTGGGGGCGACACCACAGGCAGTGCTGACCTGTCACATGGCCAGGAGTTTCTGGGGCTCTTGCTCATTGCCCCCTGCCTATTGGGGAGGCACAGGGGCCCCAGTGCTCCATTTGAGAAATCATGTGTTTAAGGGGAATCAGCAAACATTTGGCTTCTCACAAGATCTCCAGTTAAGTTTACTTTATTTTGGTTAATTTAAAGGACTTTTCAAAAAACAATTCCAAGTGGAGGAAAGGTGCTGGCAAGTCTGCAGGCTGTGTAACACGCCTTTACCTCTGACAGCAGCAGCAGAAGAACAGGGAGACTGTGCCAGATCTCTCGTTTCACCTCAGTACCTATACTGGCTCTCTGGGCCTGCCTTCACACCCAGCAGGAGCTTCTGCTGCCTGCACTATAGCTGACTAGTGTTCAGAGAAAGAGGCGGATGGAAAAAACAGATTTATAGACTGAGCTCGACTGTGCTGTTCCTGCTCTGTGGATAAACGGATATTCAGACAAACAGGTATATGCAGGGTATTCATATTCTGTGCTGGATGGCATTTGGAAGGCTAAAATTAAACGGTAAATGAGTAAGCAAGCCCTGGCCAGGAGTGCATGTAGAGTGTCGGCCTGTCTCCTGGTCTGGCTGTGAGTCTGTGAATCTGACCGAGCCTGTTTCTCCCCCCAGCCATGGACCAGCCCTGTTGCAAGGCGCTATATGACTTTGAGCCCGAGAACGATGGCGAGCTGGGATTCCGTGAGGGCGACATCATCACCCTGACCAATCAGATCGATGAGAACTGGTATGAGGGAATGCTGCACGGCCAGTCAGGATTCTTTCCCCTCAACTATGTGGAAGTGCTGGTGCCCCTGCCGCACTAGGGGGTGTGGTGGTGGATGGGGTGGGAAGGGGTATTTGGGAGGGACGGGGGGCAGAGAAGGGCATCTGTAATGGAGCTTATATAGTGTTACTATTTCAGTGCCTCTCTCTTCATTAAAATTGTCATCCCTGCACTGAGGCACAGAGGGGGAGAGAGAGTGGTGCAGAAGGGGGGAAGTATTGAAACATTCCTGCAGTAAAAAGAGTCAGTCATACAGCTGTCCTGCAGCAGGGGTGTGTGTCGGGGGGCTCTATACACTTTAACTCTCAGTGCTGTATCAGGTCCTGAGATCTGGGGAAAATGGCGTTCTCTGTAATGCTGTGAGTTTTTAGTCCCACCTACTGGTTGTGTTGGTGCAGCTGTGACAGCCCTTATTTAGAGGTGTGGCAGAGCTGTGATGGAGAGGGACAGAAATAATCAATCTCATTGATATCACCACACAGCTTCAGGTCCCACTCAACAGTGCAGTTAACACTGTTCCAACAGGTTTAACCTCCCTGAGTTGCATATCTTCTCTACAGTGCTGTGTTCAGGTGAGATGTTGCCAGTGTTCATGTGTCAGTGTACAAAGTTGCACAGGGCCCCCTGGTGGCAGTAGAGAAGTGCAGCAGTATTCATGCAGTTGGACAGCAGGAGTAGCTGACAGTACAGTCTGCAGATCAGTACAATAAAGGGCAGATTCTTATTTATATCCATTTGCTCTATAGAAGACATTATATTGATCTGAAAATCACTACTTGTTCATAAAGAAGGGAGAATGAATTGGGAATGATAATAGGGTTGAGCTATAAGCAAAGACCGTCCCCTCCCATGAGGGTAAGATCGGGGCTGTTTCATCAGCTAGAAGGCAGGCAGCCTCTTGTCTCTGTACAACGCTAAACAAAAATATGACTGAAGGAAAAACACTACACTCTGAAAGACGGTCCACTCCGGTGTTTCTAGGAGAAGGGGACGGCAGGAGAGGGCGGAGGTCGGAAGATTGTAAGGGAAGGGTAGAGCAGGCATCTGAAGGAGCCAGAGCATCTGCTGCATCTTATTATAGTTTTTCAGTAAAACACCTCTGTGCCTAATCAGTGCAGAATGGCTACCCCTTAGCCAGTGGCTGAAGGTGTACATGAAGCCTGAGGGAGGGAGGCTCCTGGGAGTCAGAGGGGAGACCCCCCACTGGCAGCTGGCTCATGCAAGGACCTACTGTCTTCACCTCACTCTGCCATTGAGTCTGCCTCTGCCGCCAGACTCCGCTCTGCCATTGAGCCTGCCTCTGGCGCCAGGCACCGCTCAACCAGAAACTGCTAGCCTGTTTGTGGTCTAATAGATAGTTCAGTGCACAATTAATTATGTAAGCAATGTCCCTGGAGGAGTTTAGTTCTGTCTGACTGATAGAAAAGGAAAAAGTAAAAACCTAATCATAACTACATGAACATTAACTACATTTCCTGAGCTGACGACTTTAATGCCACAGCAAAGCGCTGTGTGTCCTGTCACTGGTGTCTGTCGCTGTCTCTCCCTGTCTGTCTCGTGTTGGGGACACTGCTGGCGGTGCCCAATGTCTCGGGGGGAGGGGACTCGACTCCACAAGGGAGCTGCAGAGGGTCCCAGCTGTAGGTGTCAGGTCCCATCCAGGGGACAGCTGCCTCCCCTAGCAGCTCTCCAGGAACAGAGTCCAGCCCCTCTCTACTAACTGGACTTGATAGGACTGGGACAGACTGGACTTTTGTATTCAGTCACTTTGGACTGTACTTGACTAGACTGTTCAAATCCCAAGGAGAGGAGTAGTAAAATCATTTTGTAATTTTTTTATTAAAATTTTGTTAAAGCTCTGCTTGCATTTTGTGTTCATTGGTGGCATTGTAACAGAAACTCTTGAGTCTAGTGAACAAGGCAGAAGGTCAAGGTTTCAAAATCCTCAAAAGCTGTATCTTGGCCTGTCAAAGGAGTGTGTTAATAGCAGGCAGGGCCAGGGTGGAAGACTGTGATGTTCATCTGTGACCAGACTCCCACATGCTGGCCCTCTTCAGATCCATGTTGGTTTACTTTAGTTTTGAAGTCACTATCTGGAATGTGAGGGACTCTTGAATTCACGTGTTTTGGTAAATGAGAAGTATATAGGCCTTTAAAGCTTTCTGTGTTTGAGAGCAAGAATCTATCCTAGCCCACTGGGCTTTCATTGTCATAATGTTCTCACTTTTAAATGTATTAAACTTTTAAAATGATCTGGCTGTAGTCTTCTAATATTGTTTACGTATTCTTTATGTATTAAAAGTACATAGTGTTCGGCAGTGATTTTATTTCCTAGTCAATGGCTTGTGGTGCTCAGTGGATATACGATGACAGGCTGAATGCATTCTTACTTCACTGAGTGCAGACTGGTGAGAGTACAGGGTCTGTCTATAAAAAGAACACTAAGAGACAAAGGGGTGTTTGCAGCCTCGGCCTGCCTGACTCAGCTGTAGCCCACATTCCAGCATGCCACCTGACACGGTGCCAGTCCAGCGGTCCTGCTCGGCTGCAGTGCTCAGGAGTGCCCGGGGCTCTGTGGCAGCGAGAGTGGCTCAAGTGAGCTTAGTTAAACCTCCATTCAGCAACACAAGGCACAGAGGCCTGGCTGTGGCCCTGCTGGTCTCTGTGCAGAGACACTACGATTGTCACACTACATTGAAAAACAAAAAGGGGCCGTTTCTCTGTTTAATCCTATCTGAGAGTCTATCTTTTGATATTAAGAAATTAAAACATTATTCTGTTATGTTATTAAGCAACCTTGTAGTAAAAACTGTATCTTTTTATACAAACTAATCTTGCATGTAGGTCCTCCATTATGGAATTACACCTTAGAGTGGAAAAACTGCTTAATTACTTTTTGGCTATGCTCTGAATTAATTTACAATTTTAACTAGTATTTTTCCTGTTCAGTATCATACTTTTGTACTAGTGTAAAGTTTAGTATATCTTTATTCTTTTTTTCAAACTTTCAATAAACGAGATATCTGCAGAACTGTGCTCAGTGTTTTTCTTCCACTGTGATTCTCCATGGTGATGCTCCAGATTCCCGGAATCCAGGTCTGTGCCCTGAGAGCCGTATGGAAGCTGTCAGGCTAGAGCTGGACACAGCAGCAATGGTGGCCCCTGTTAACCCACAGGAAAAATACTTCTCGAAACAGCAGAGATTGAAATTCCAGTGTCTGTATTCATATATTCAGCAGGTAAATCACATTTGAACCACTCCATTACAGCAAGAGACTCATCTAACAGAACAGAGAACTATCCTGGTGAACAAACTGTGCAAGCTTTTGGTATGTTGTGATTATTACATAACTCAGATGAGTTCATACCGCTGACACCAACTGGACCAGCGGCCCCCAGTCCAACTGGCTGCTGTGCAGTGGAACAAGGAGAGCATCCTTGACCAGGCCAGTTTACTTTTTTCATAACAGAGTGCTTGTCTGTCTTTCCTGTCCCCACAGAGTCTTAATTATTAATATCCAAGTTTATTTTAATACAATTCATGGTGAAACAGCCTGTTTTGTTAGTGCAAGAAACTGATTTGGATGCTGTTGTGCAGTGAAAAGCCGACACCCACACCCACAGATAAAAGAAGGAAGTCCACTGTTCGTGAGAGCTCAGCAGATTTCACTGTGGGCTGCAGGCAGTTTAAGCTCAGCTCGTAATACAGCACTGTCACTCTGTGTACTAGTGCACTCGACTCAGTCTCTTGGGGGGCCACAGTCCAAAATATTTTCTAGGTCATTCTAAATAATCAACAGCAGGCCTGGGAAAATGTGGTTAGTCCCAGGTCTGTGTGTCCTGAGGGAGGTGCCAGAGGGACAGTGTAGGCGCTGCCTGACTGCAGAGGCCCCAGCAAAGAGGCTCCAGTAACTTCAGGATTCCAGTGCAGAGCAACACCCCTCTTCGCCCTGGCTCAGTGCGAGTTGCTCAGGTGGTTGTAGACATGCTCCAGGATCTGACTGTAGGCCTGGTCTTTGGGAGCATGACCACTGAGTGAGCCCTGCAACATGGAGACACCGCAGGAGAAAGAGTTAGGAGACAGATGGGGTCATCCATGAGCTTGAACGTTTCCAGCACAACTGCAGGCAGTGAGTATAAACAGATGCTTGTGTCATTCAGCAAGTGAAAGAGTGTGTGAGCAATGTTCCTTCTAATTTTTCCTTCTAAAGTTGTGCACATTTTTTTTCCCCAGTGAAAAAACCTGTGTGCACTAATTTGAGTGTATGTAAAATTGTAAACCTGCAATTATATTTTGTTATTATTAGTCATTCTCATAGAAGCATAGAGATCCAAAAGACCGGGACAGCGATTCAACAAACCCAGTCATAGAGACTGAGTGTCAAGCGAGCATGAGCAGGGAGGTACGAGACTACGAGAGCAGAGATATAGATTATCGAGTAGCAATAATAGTGCACACAGCCATGTTGGGCCTCTCGCAACCAGTCTTGTAGTCAGTTTAGCATTTTTCAATTGATGACCCTGTTAATTTTATTTTTTTGCGGGGGAATTTAAATTTTTGTGCGCAGTTCAATTTACTATGTGCGCTGATTTCATAACCTGTGTGCATGCACACACCTTAGAGAGAACATTGTGTGTGAGAGAAGAGACAGACTGTGTGTCCAGACCTTTATCTTGTCCAGGATGGTCGTCTCCGGACTCCACAGCTGAGTGAACTGCACCAGGTCAGGGGCCCCACGATAAAACTCCACCAGCAGCATCTGCAGCCAGTCAAGCACACGCAGAATGAGAATCAAGACATGGGGAGAGAGCTGCACAGCCAGAGCAACACCAAACGGAGAGAACCGGAATGGACAATCACACCACTGATGAAAATCTCCAGACAGAAAGGCAGAGAGGGAGGGAGACTGGGACGTGCAGTGTTGCTAGTACCATCTCATTGAGGACATCACTGGTCAGGAAGTTGTCTTGGACATATGTCACCTCCACCGCCACTGGGATTCCATAGTCATTCGGGCGTTGCTAGGAGACAGAGGAGGACATGCTGGACTGTTGTTAGCAGACAAAGGGTAGGAGAGGCATTCCACTGAACTTTCTCTTCAAGCAGAATGAGCTCACCTCTGGGGGAGGAACCACCCAGAACGGGGTAATGGTGGATGCCACACCCTGGTTGCCATGGTAATAGGGGCCTGTGAGTGAGAGAGAGAGAGAGAGAGAGAGAGAGAGAGTGACTGTGAAAAGACGGCTCAACCCCCCCCCGGTGTGAAACAATTGGAGCCCCCACCAGCCTGCTCACCGCAGATGATGCCCAGGCACGGCTGGAAGCCATTGCTGCTCCCCTGCAGCCGCAGCTGATGGTCCATCTGGGAGTCAATGTCCTGCAGGGAGGGAAGGGCGGGGCCCCGGGGGTGGCTGTGATACCAGCCCACCAATGACAGCCCACGCATGAACAAGTTCTGACAGATCTGTAACGGGACAGGTCAACCAGTGCTGTCAATCACCCACACCACTGGCACAGAGTCCCCTCCCTCCACATTCCCCAATGACAGCAGCAGCAGCTGGGCAGTCCTACCTCCTCCTCCACTGCGGGGGCAGAGTCGCGGTCAGCCAGTCGTGAGCGGCAGGGGAATGCCCTCAGCACTGTGAGAACTGGGAATGGGAGAGAACCGTTGCACAGGGAGATTAAGACAGGAGCAACAAGCTGACAGTAATCGCCCCTCCATATGGTACTGCCCCCTGTACTCACGCTGTGTGCTGGTGTCCCAGCGGCCACCCAGGTATCCCACTACCTCACTGGTCGTCAGGTGACAGTGGAAATCCTGACAGAGAGACGGAGGAGTGACACACAGGAACTGTGGGTGGCCTGTCTGCTGTCTCTCCCTCCATCTTTCTACCCTACTGCAGTGCGCATCCTGCAGGACCTCAGACTCCATGCACGTCTGCACTCTGCACTTTTTGCATGGTCTGCCATTTCGTGTTCAAGGTCCAGTGTCATATCCCACAACACATTTATTGTTCCTGTTATTATTCATTATGTTTGTTATGTACTGTTGTACTGTGTCCTGAGAGATCGGCCCAAATAAGAAGCCCAAGGTCCATGAACATATGGCAATAAACTCCTCTACTTCCTCTCTACTTCTACTGCCCCCTCACCATCAGCAGCAGGACGTTGCTGGACACGGCCACATTGAAAGGCTGGAACCTGTTAATGGCGGAGAAAGCCGACAGCTCTACTAAGGTGTGTGGGTCCCTAGAAAACAAACACAGAGACGCACGTGTCTCAGAGAAGAACGTGAGCAGTAACACAGTGGCGCAGACACCCAGCACCGTCACAGCAAGGTACTGACCGGCCAGAGTCGCGGCTGCCCAGGGCGCAGTATCTCACTGGGACTCTGTCTCTGTCTGTCCGTCTCTGCAGTGGGCTGCCTTCTGCAACACACAGACATTCATGGCTAGCTCTCTCTCGCGACTCGCTCTGGGAGCGTCTGTCCACAGCGCTCGCCCTCTTACCTTGCTTCCGACTCCTGTCCTCCGAGGGCAGGGCTGTCTTCCCTTCCTCCTCCTCGTCCTCCCCCATCTCCTCGTCCTCCCCCTCGCTGGCCAGGCTCTGAGGACACAGCGAGCTCAGTATAGTGGCAGTACGATAAGAAAGCACTTCTCTCCCAGCCCCATCGGCCTCCCCTCCTCTCTCACCATCTCTGCACTGGGCTGGTACTTGTGCAGCCAGCTAGTCTTGTACTGGACCAGTTTCTGCCCGCGGTACCGGACAGAGGCCCAGCCACAGCCGGACTTCTTGGCTGGGTTGACAAGCCGCTTGCAGTGTGTGGCCCAGGCGCTGGGCGAGTTAAAGACCTGGCCCGTCTCCACCCAGCGGATCTTCCCATCTGACAGCAGGTCCCCAACAAACTTCTTACCCTGAGAAGGGGAGGGACGGGGGGGGGCGGAGTGAGAGAGAGACAGATAGAGGGACAGGGGGTGGGGAGAGAGAGAGGGACACAAAGAGGAGTAGGGAGGAAGTGAAAGAGAGGGACAGGGAGGAGTTTTTTTTTTTTTAATTGTCAACTTTTGAAACACAAAATGGCTGAAAGTGCAATGTGGGTGGCCTCACTCTACCACGGTGATGGCTGGGGAGAGGGAGGACGGGGGGAGGGGAGAGGATAGGGTCAGCAGCTCTGTTACCAGGTAGTGGATGGACAGCACCCCGTCCCCAGGCTCCACCAGCCCGTCCTTCAGCAGGACCCGGAGGGTGATCCCACGCCGCGTCAGCACAGAGCCACGGCCAGGGGGCGCCCTGGAGTCCACCTCCTCCCCTGCACTCAGCTCCTCCTCCTCCTCCTCCCCTCCCTCCTCCAGCACCGGGGGAGGCGAGGGGGGCTCTGAGCCTGGGACAGACAGACGACAGACACCTTCAGCAGTGCTTGAGGTCAGTCCGTCTTCCACACTGCAACTGTCTACATAACCAAACACAAGCTGTGTAACGGCAAGAGGACAGCTGGTCCAGCGGTCAAGGTCCAGTCCCGTTACACCAAGAAGACAGCTGGTCCAGCGGTTCAGGTCCAGTCCCGTTACACCAGGAGGACAACTGGGCCAGTGGTTCAGGTCCAATCCCGTTACACCAGGAGGACAACTGGGCCAGTGGTTCAGGTCCAATCCTGTTACACCTGTCTCTGTCGCTGGTGTGAGAGAGTGTTTGTGCTGAATAGATTGTTGTCAGGAAAACCCCTGTTCATGCCCAGTGTTTGATCCATCAGAGTATGTCTGATCAATTATCAACTGAAGACTTCACAGCAGGTGGACCCTGGAGTGGATTAAACTGCTGAGCACCGAGACTCTGACTGACAGCACTGTAAAACCTGGAGTGGATCAGACTGCTGCGCACTGGGAATCTGGCCTATTTGTAAGTGGACACTCAATTCCATTCAATTTATTTGTATATAGCGCCTTTCACAACAAGGTTGCCACAAGGCACTTAACAAAGCAAGTGACCGTACATGTTGTGAATACAGAATAACTCCAGTTATTCTATGTTCTGTTTGATTTTGAAATTTTATAAACTTTGGGAAAGTTTTGGCTATGAGGTGGAGAAGGAGACTGCCTTCATATGAAAGGAATTTTCGGTTTTTCAAAAAAATCAGAGCCGTTAGGAACCTGGCCCCCACCCCAACACCCAAACAGACCCCCCGGCTGGAAACAAAACCTTTAAAATAATTCACAGTGGGAGCTGCGACCAGATACTACTATTCCTCAGAATCACAGACCATAATGTTCATAATCATCACTACATAACAGAATACTTCTATTCCTCCTAAAATTATATTACAATGAAGTTTTATTTAAAAGGAAAAATGTAAAAACCTAGTTAAACCACATGATAATACAGTCCGCGTCCCCGGGTAGTCGCAGCCCGCACACAGAGGCCTTCCCGGGATTAATGGCACTCCGTGCTGAAGTGGATTGCACATGACTAATGTTTTTATTAATGATTTTCTCACCCATATTTTGCAGGAGCTTCGATTTGGAGTCCCGTACCGCGGCTTCCTGGCTTAAATTACCCTTCCTTACCGCCAGCTGAGCGGAGGGGCCGTCAGGCTTCGGGGTGGCTTTCTAAAAACACGCAGGTCAGAGCCGGCGGGCGGCTCTTGCTCAGACCCAGAAAATGAAGGCGCCTGTCTCATCCGCTCCGTCCGCGCCGCCGAGCAGGGCTGCTGTGGAAACCACGACAACAGCAAGTGCCGAGCGTGTGGCGAATGTGTCCGTGTGTCGCCTGCGTGTGCGGCTCCCCGTCCTTCCGTGGGGTCTGGCGTTGTTGTTCGCGCAGTGTTTCCGGAAGGCGACACGCTCCGCTCAGCGGGTAGGAAGTCAGCGCTGCGCGGCGATGCTCCGCTTACATTTAAATCACCCTGCCGCTAACAGGAGCCTCGGAAATGCGCCGAGCGACACGTCAGCCCGGCTTCCCTGGATAACTGCACTGAACATTTAGCAGCACCCCAGTGTCCTGTCTCCTGATCCTTCTTTCTGTCCGCGTCCGGGCGCCGTAACGGCGAGCTGGTACCAGAGAGAAAGGAGACACGGTCCCCTTCCTCCCCGCTCTCTCTGTTTCTGTCTTCTCCTTCATCGGTGGCTCCACACGTGATTCAGGCTCCCAGGACCACGTGTGACGTCACCCAGCGAGGTCAGCTTCTTCAGAGCAGCCCGGCTCTCCCTCCGTGCCCCCTGTGGAGGGGTCATCCCATCCCCACCCCCAGCCTGCAGCCCCCTTCTTCTCCCAGGCTGGATCTGTCTCCTTCTGAGTCTTTGGAATCTTGTCCTGGGGGGTCCAGTCCTGGTCCTGGTGCTGAAGGGACCAGCACTCTCCTGGAGGGTCCAGTGCTGGCACAGTCCTGCAGGGTCCAGTCCTGGTCCTGGTGCTGGAGGGTCCAGCCCTGTTCTGCAGGGTTTCCAGCTCCCTGTAGCAGCAGCACCTGAAGAGCTGCGAGGAGAAACCTGCAGACGCACACCGCACCCCAGGACCCTGTCCAACAGCCACCTGCACTGATGACACAGCCGTTATCTGTGCCAGAGGTACACAGGGCTCTGCAGGCAAAGGGCGGTTCCAGTGGGGTTCTGGGGGAGTTCTTGTGGTGATCTGGTGAGGGTTCTGATGGGGTTCTGGTAGGGATCTAGTGAGAGTTCTGATACGGTTCTGGTAGGGATCTAGTAGGGGTTCTGAAGGGGTTCCTGTGGGGGTCTGGTGAGGTGGAGCGGATAAGTCACTCAGAAGGTGTTACTGGATCCTGGACCCCTGCCCTGGTGCTCCACAGTGCCCACTGCAGGGGCTCCTGAGACCCCGCGGCATCATGCAACTACCGTTTCACTAGCAAAGCTGAAGCCCTGTCTGCTCTCCAGGAGCTGGAGATTCAAGTGACTTATAAACCTGCTGCACAGCGCCCCCTGCGGAGCGGAGTAGGGCAGCCCCATCTACAGAGTTGAAAACGGCGACAATTAGAGCTGGTAAAGTCAGGAACTATTCACCGGAGCTGCGGGAGTGAGGAGCGCTGGTACTGCAATTCAGGCCGAAACTGGAGAAGCAGCACCAGACGATTAACCGTGTTGTAGACGCTTAAATAGCAGATACACTCTTGCAAGAGCTTCCTATCCTTTTCACAAAAGTACTGCTTCAGTCCCGCAAATAACTATTATTAGCTGCTTCAGAACTGTTAACAGGACTGCTAATTACAGCGATGGACATTTTCTACATGAGACGCTGCGCGTCTTGCGCTGCTGGGTTTTTCCCCGGTGTTTCTGTTTCGTCACGGCTCGAAGAGTCTGCCGCACTGCCGGGCGGGAGAGAAAGTCCCTCCCCAAACCAGCAGGCCCGCCTGGCCTCCCGGCAGCGTCCGCAACACTCCAGAGAGCTCGGAAAATAACCTGCTCGCTGAGCCTCGGCACAGCGACGCTTATTCTTCAGCAACACCTACAGAATGTACCCTGTCTCATTTCTGTTTTGTTGCGTCCCCACCGCACACGCTGCTCCGGCAGGTGATCCCTGGGTACCTGTGCGCAGGTGAGCCCCGGCCAGGGGCGGGGCGGGGCGGGGCGGACGGCGCGGGGGGGCGGGGCCTCAGTGTCCCACCTGGAGTGACTGACAGCGAGGCAGAGCTGTGCGAGCGGCCCCGAGTCCCTGGTCAGAAGCACTGACGGACAGACAGAGCTGTGGCAGGAGGCGGGTTAGATTTTCTTTCTGTGGATTAATACCAACATTTCCCGTTGGTGATACCACCGGCAGTGGCTGCTCCAGCTGTACATTCGTGCCAATCGTCGTGAGTGACCTTAGGTCCAGTGCTCAGAGAGCGGGTTGTCCAGTAACGGGACGACTGAGCTCGCAGAGGAAGGAAGAGGAAAGGAGAGACCCAACGACCCGAAACACACACCGGGACCGGCACCGGCACCGGCACAGCAGCCGGGTCGCATGGCGTCTAGCAAGCCGAGCCCGAGGCAGCGCGGCCAGAGGGCAAGGGAGCAGCTGCCCTGTTACTACGAGGGTTTCGTGGAGAAGAGAGCGCAGGGCGAGAAGGTGGGAGCCGCCGGGACATAACATTCTGTTATCATGTTGTATACTCTTTCCTGTCTTCTTAAGGGGCTGTTTTTATCATTTCAGCTTTTCAGCGTGGAAATGTTTTTAAAGCTCGTACGCCGCCGTATCTCCCCTCTCGATCCTCATTTTCTTATTCTGCATCAGCAACGAAAATAAAATGTGGATTCCTCTCGATTATCGCAGGTTAATGATTTAACTTTACTGAGAAGTCGATTTTTTTATTAGCTCATGAGAGATCGCCTCTAGTGTTTTATATAGGCTGTGCTCTGGTTCTGTAGGACTGCTGCCAGTGTGTGCGCGAGTCTTTTGTAATTGGTTATAATCCGAACTAGTGTAGATGTGGGAATGTGTTATTATTTCATGTTGAAAATATCTGGCACTTAATCATGCTTTTGGATATTTAGTTTTTTGTCTAGGGGAGAGAACTAGCCAGTGAAAGCAGAGTCCGATTCAGGAATGCAGCAGATCTGCTCTGAAGGTCCTGTGCTGTGTGTGCCCAGGGCTGCTGGCCAGGAGCAGGGGGACACAGGAGACCCAGGGGTCCTCCGTCCTGCTGGCTGGCCGGACTGCTGACCCTGTGGACCTTGAGCGAGGACAGCAATTACCATCTTTTCCTGAACCGTAAATATGAGCTCAGAGCTGTCTGAGAGCCTGGTTAGATAACGATTCTCAGATATCCAGCATTCTGTGACTCAGGAGTTGTCTGCTATGATATAACAAGGAAGGGGGCAGAAGGGGCAGTCTCTGTCTGCTGTGCTCTTTGACTGTGTGGAGGTGTGTCAGGCATGGAGGCTTCTATATCTGACGTGTGGAGGTGCATACTGTAGTGTATGTTTATGTGCATGTATTTATATACAGTACGTGTGTCTGCTGTAGGAAGCGTACGCCGCAGTATCTCCCCTCTCGTATGTGTCTATATATTGCTCATTGCTTTCTGTCCTGTTCTAGTTGGGGAATATTAATAGCCCATTCTGTGTCTGTGGTCGGAGCAGTGAGGTGCTGCGTGCTCTTCTCTGTCACAGCACTGTTGTTCTAAATAGTCTGGGGAGTTGAGGTAGGGCTCGTCTGAAGTTCGAAATAGTGGAGTTTGGATGCAGAGAGCCAGGTCAGTGTGTGTCTGCAGCTGGGGGGGGGTTCACACAGACCAGCACAGCTCTGTCTCTGGTCTTTACCCCCATCGTAAGAACTCAAGAAAAGTCACATGTGACGCGAGGCTGTGCTGTCCATATGTCTCCTTGGTGTGTGTGTGACTATGACTAAGGATGAGAGAAGAGTAGCCTCACCCTTATGCGCAAGTATGTAGCAGAGGTACATTGTAGAAAATCCCTAAGATCAAAACCCACTGACAGCACGACTGTAGACCCTAAACAGAGCCGAGCTGGTGGGGAAAGGCAGGTGTGCGTCTGGCAGGGCTCCCTGTCCAGCTCAGCCAAGAGAAAGGGCTGGTGTTCAGGGTGTGAGGCGCCTGCCCATGAGTTCATGAGTTGAGCACAGGTGTACGTGGCACACTGCTACAAGATCAAATCTGAATTATTCATAGGGCATCGAGACGGCTGTCGGATCTAAACTCTCTGATTTGAATCCTAATGGACTGGCCTGTTCTTAAATGAGGAAACCCGGCTCCTGTGCACTGCCTGTCCAAGGAGGGGGGCATAATTGAGGTCTGTGCTGCTGGGGGGGCAATCTGGATATAAAAGACCAGCTGCTGCCACAGGGCTGGGGGGCCCTCAGGGTTCTCAGGGAGGAAATAACAAAAAGATCAGAACAAAGAGACCGAAGAGAGAGGGGGGAAGGGGGGGTGCCGGGGAGACAGACCTCATATGCAGATTTACAACAGCTGAGCTCCAGCTCCTAATGATCCTGGAGGGGAGCATCTGTGTGTGTGATCAGAGCGCCTGTCCCTTCTTGCTGTTTCACTGACCCAGTCACCGGGGGCAATAAACACATTCAGCCAGCAGCCCTTGCACTGCTATTTAATTCTATAGTTTCCACTTAACCCTCTCTGCCTCAATGTCTGCCACAAACAGCAGTATGGCAGTGGGAGTGGCAGATGCACGGAGTTTGATGGACAACAGTCCATACTGGAAATGAACAAGACTACAATTAAACAGGCTTCCTAGAGCAGCTGGGAGATGGAATGGAGATCTGGAAAGCCAGAGAGAGGATTAGGGCTGTGGTTGGGGTCTGAAAGTAAAGAAGGGGTGGTAGAGAGAACAAGCCGAACAAGAGAAGGCAGGAAGAGAGAGACTGAGAGGGGAGAATAAGATGGAGAGCAGTGATGATTTGTCTGTGTGTGTGTGGTGGTGGGGGGGTGTTCACAAAACACCTCAAGAATCTGAGGAATGCAAGCTACTTGCTCACCTGCACAGCCCTGGCAAAATCTGAACTGGAATTTCCTTTGCGGACAGCCTGTCTCACAGCCTGCCTCTCTCTTCTGGAGAGGAGGCAGGGTTGTTATTGTCTTCATCAGAGCTGTCAGTGCACATTCCAGAGCTCCGACACTGACAATCCCTTGTCAGTCATAAGAAATAACTTGAAGGGGAGAGAGATTGGGCAGCAGACCCTGTCAGGCAGGGAGAACTCTGCATCTGACCTCAGCAACAGGGGAAATGTGTATTTTAATCGTTTTTCTTCTCCGTCTGAAGAAAGCCTATGTTTTGAATCATTCTGCACCCAATTTACAATCCATTCCCAGATATACTTCCAGCTGGAGAGCAAGTCAACAAGAAGGTCTCAAACTCAGTTCCTGGAGGGTCAGGTGCCTTCTGGTCTCTGTTCTGACCTTGGTTATAAATTAAACAATTATCCAATTATTGCCTTAGCCAATTAAAGGATCCTTCTTAAGGTCTTTAATTGTTAATTACTCAAAACATTTCAGTTCAGTACAGATACAGTTAGCTATGAAAAAACCTCACTGCCTGGTTAAAAGTCTCACATTTATGGAGGTAATTCAGTAATTCGCATCCTATATAACTAGGAACTTAGATGGAACAAGCTCCAGAAGACACGTGACTGCAGGAACGCCGTTAAAGATTTGCCTGCTGCGTCTGTGTATGTATCAGAAAGACAAGTCAAATTCTTAATTCCCCGCTGCTGTACCTGTTGCAGGCTGCAAGCCCTTGACCAGGTAGCACTGTGAATTATAATCTGGTGTTAGCTCATACTCAAGAGCCCTGCAGCTGGTGACACCTGAAGTGGATCAGAGTGCTGAGTACAGGATTGTTTCCTGCTTAATCAGAGGGCTGGAACTGGAGTGACAGGTTAATGTTTAGATTCTTCTACAGCATCTGAGCCTGGAACATGTGACTGTGTTTTGGACTGCAGCAGGAATGACCATCATAATAATGGGTCTCAAAGAAATGCACCTACTCTACATCTAGAGAGGCAGTGTTGTACTATATGCTTTGTAGTTAACGTTTGTCTGAACAGTTACTGCTGCTGCACAACTTCACACAGCAGGTCCTCAAACTCTCACGCAACAGGTCCCCATGCTCTCACGCGCTCACACAAGAGGTCCTCACGCTCTCACACAGCAGGTCCCAACGCGCTCACACAACAGGTCCTCACGCTCTCACACGCTCACACAGCAGGTCCTCACACTCTCACACGCTCACACAGCAGGTCCTCACGCTCTCACACGCTCACACAGCAGGT